TCCCTCCCTCCCTCCCTCCCTCCCTTCTTTCCTTTAAGACAATATCTCACTAACAGGATCAGTCCATACTGGCCTCAAACACACAGAAATCCCTTTGCCTTAGCCTTGTAAGTGCTGGGATTACAGACATAAATCACCAAGTCCAGCTTCTTTTTAGTTTTTACCTTGAGACAGGGGCTCACTAAGTTCCTCAGACTGGCCTTGAACTCCCTAAACAGTAGCTCAAACAGGCCTTAAACTTGGATGGCAAACTCTCAGGCATTATGCTTTGCTTTATATCCAGATGAGGCTGGGAGGAATCCATGCGGAAACCAGTCCGATTTCATTCACTTGTTTTTGAGAAAGGCTCTCACTCGAGCCCAGGCTAACTTCACACTTTTGATCCTCCTGCCTCCGTCTCTTGAGTGCCACTGTGCCCACTGTCAATATTTTATCAGCCCGTTTTAGAGACAGTCATCCCAAATGTCCCATCCCTGGCCAGTAACCAGAATCCAGCGAACTCCAGTAGAGGAGCAGAACACATACACACTTTCCTAGTTATTCTGGAAATCGGGGCACTAAGGTCAGCACCCCCAGTGATGCTGGCTGAGTAAGTGTGACATTCCCGTCCACACCTAGAGGTCTTGTGCAAAATGCAGGTTGAGCCAGCAGATCTGGGGTGGGGCTGGGACTCACAGTTTCTCATCCGTTCCTTGGGGATGCTGTGGCTGCTGGGCTGGGCCCTGGTGGCAGCAGAGGTAATTGAGCAAGGGGCAAGATGAGATGGGGGAAGACAGAGAGGCGGGGGAGGCTGAGCACAGGCGGTTCCCGAAGAACGTGAATATTAGGGTGCTAACTTTCATGGGTTCCCAGATTTGAAGAGCAGCTCTTTCAGCTTGTTAACTCTTGTTCCTTTACTTATTTATCATTTATTTTTTAAATCAGTTTTAAGAACACAGGAGTCAGCTGGGTGTGGTGTCTCAAGCCTTTAGAGACTGCACTCAGCAGGCAGAGGCAGGCAGATCTCTGTGAGTTCCAGGCCAGTCTGGTCTATGCAGAGAAACCCTGTCTTGAAAAACAAACAAACAAACAAACAGACAGACAAACAGACAAGAAGAAGAACAGAGGGAGTCAATAACATCACTGTTTCGATGGTCTCTGACACTGGTGTATTATTTTAAATGTCGATTATTTTCTAGTAATTAGAAGTACTTACATATTTTTTCTGCTTTTCTTTCTTTTATGGTACTTTAGCAGAGAACAGGGAGGCCCCAGAGGTCCCAGGGGACATTAGGGCAGGGGGACAGCAGCCTTTGAGCATAGATACTCTGCTTGCAAATGAAACAGTAGTCCCAAGTCAGTAGCAATACTAACTAGCAGGTATCCCGCATCCGGGCCAGGTCCCCAGCGAGCTCTGGGAACGAGGAGCAGACAATGGAGCTGCTGACTTTGGCTAAGCAGCATAGCCGCATACCGTGTGCCGCTTCAACCCACAGGCTCACCGGCTGCCGCTCCCTTTCCGCCCAGTGCAGACACCAGCCCATCTGGAGTTTCTAGTCTGTCAATTTAGTCCAGCAGCCTGGCCAGGGGAAGATTCAGTTGACTTAGAGGCAATGGCACTTCTCACTGGGTTCTGGAGAAATAAATATTAACAGAGGGTGACGTACTATTAAGCGTAAGTGATCAGTCACTGGCCCACAGGTGAGAGGTTGAAGTAGGATCTGGTAGAGTCACGGGAGAGAAGACTCTGTCTACACTTCCCTGTCCACCCCTGCACCTGTCTGTCCTGCCCTCTCCTCCCAAACCGACGTCTGCACTTTATGTCTCCCTAGGAAAGCAGAGAAAGCAGCCGTCTCCTTGGGGGCTCCCACGACTACCAGGTGAGTCAGGGGACAGCGGGGCGGCTTAGCAGAAGGGACGGTGGAGAGTGGGACAGAATGTCAAGAGACAAAAATACCTATTTCTTCTCCCAAGCTGCCCTTAAACTGCTGAGTGACTACCAGGAAACCAAAATGGCGGCTGGGAACTCCCTCCCTCCTTCCATTTGGGATCAGAGCCATACTGATGGCAGATGTGATATCAGACAAAAGGAAAAAGAACAGAGACTAGGCCTGGAGGCAAGACTTATAATCCCAGTTACTAGGGAGGATGAGGCAGGAGGGTCACAAATTCAAGGACTGGTCTATAGAGTGTGTTCAAGGCCATTCTGGGGCAACTTAGAGAAATCCTATTTTAAAAAAGCAAAAGAGAACCAGGGCATGGCTCAGTGGTAGAGCCCCTGCCTAGAATCCCCCAGTGAGGGGCTGGGGTGTGGCTCAGTGGTAGAGCCCCTGCCTAGAATCCCCCAGTGAGGGCTGGGTGTGGCTCAGTGGTAGAAGCCCCTGCTCAACATATGTGAGACTCTAGGTTCAGTTTCCAGTGATACCTGTCCGCTGAATAGAGATCAACAGAATACACATGCATATACATATATATGCATATATATACATACAGACATACATATATGTACATTTAAATGTGCTTAATAGGTAAGTATTGAGAAGAGGAAAGTTGCTGAACTTTGGGTATAAAGATGGGGGTTAAAAGTCAGGTCCACCACTCATCATCTAGGCTTTTTCAGGCAAGTCAATTGACCTCTTTGAATCTGGCTCCCTAGCATAAGAAGGGACAGTGAACCCTGACCTGCCCATCTTCCTTCGCTACTGTTGACTTCTCTGTATCATAATCAAACTGAGGTAATGCAGGGTCTAGACGGCAGGCCACTTCTGGAGAAATGAAGTCATTGCAAATCCATCCCACGCTGTGGTCCTAGGAGCCCAGTGGGACCACACATTACCTCTCATCATTTTCACTGGCCTTTGTTGGGGCCAGGCAGAAGGAAGTGGAGGCGAAAATGTGACCATTAGACATGGTGGTGGATCACTGTAACAAATGTAGACCTGGGAGGTTGACACAGGAAGATCACTGCCAAGTTTGGGGCCAGCCTGGGCTACAAAGTGTGTGCATGTCTCGAGAGATCGGGTCAGCTGTGTGGTTGAAGTCATTCGTCTTTTTGAGCTGGAAGTTCAGGAGTGCGAGAGAGAAGAGAAAAGGCTATGGCGAGGAGGAGAGACGCAGGGCCATTGGTGGAGATGGGTGGGCCTGGGCTAGACCGGCAGGCACTTGTGTGATGGTGAACGTGAGCCTTGAACATGGCTTCCTTTCCCCTCCCCAGGAGCATGGGTCCAATGGGAATGGTGAATACAATGAAGCCGTCAGTGGACTCAAAGCTGTGGTGAGTGAAGCTCTTACTCCACTTTGGACGGGGACTGGGGTGTCGGGCATCCTTGTGTCTCGTTCCTTCCTGACACCCGCATCTCCTGCCTCTGCCTCTTGCTCACAAAGTGGACTCTTAACTTCCTGCTGTTTCTCATCCATTCCTTAGAACTCCGACCCGTCTTCCTTGCCCTTCAACTTTGACAGTTTCTGGGAGGTAAGCTGCTTGCCCCCCCCCCAGGAGAAGTAACCCCACTTTCTCAGTCCTCCCGGTCCCAAGAGAAAGCCATGGTCCTGACCTTTTCTTTAAAATGTTTAAATTTTGCTTTCATTTTATACATATGAGTGCTTCACCTCCATATATGTCTGAGTACCGCATGTGTATCTGGTGGCCGCAGAGGCCAGAAGAGGGCATTAGATCTCTTGGAACTGGAATTGGAGATGGCTGTGAACCACCATGCGGGTGCTGGGAATAGAACTCAGATCCTTTGGAAGAGCATCCAGTGCTCTTGACCTTTTCTGGCCTGAAAAACAAAACAAAAGAAAACAAAACAAAAAGCCAGACATTGTTTCATGATCTGATTTGGACATTTCTTTTTGTTTTCTCTGCAGAATTTTAAATCCAAGTTGGGTTTCATTAACTGGGATGCCATAAACAAGGTAAGGACCGGAAGGCCATGCCCTGATGGTTTGAGAGCAGAGGACCAGAGGGAGAAGAGCTAGACATCTTCACGATGAGGCAGGAGAATAGTAATCATGATCATTTGGCAAATGATCAAACCAAATGCATCTATGTGGGGAGCCAATGGAGACTTGGAAAGATAGGGTGAATTAGGAAATCGTTGGGTCCTGGCAATGAGCAGAGGAGATGACTGTCTTTAATATCTTAATGTGAAGAACCAGGTGACTCCTCAGCCTCAGTCTCCCCTTTAGACCTGTGAGGTACAGGTTTGTCATCTCTGCAACTGGGAAGACAAAGCAACAGGATTGGCAAATTGAAGGCCACCCTGGACTCAAAGAGCGAGTTCATAGCTTGCTTGGGCAATTTAAGAGATGATATCTCAAATTTAAAGTCCATCAGTGAAGGTCTGTCTTGAAATTCAGTGGTAGAGCCCCTGCCTAGAATCCCCCAGTGAGGGCCTGGGGGTGTGGCTCAGTGGTGGAGCTGCTTACCTAGCACTGGTGAAACTCTGGGTTCAATACCAGCTCTACACAAAAGGGATTAGGCAGACTGAGTAGGCATGATCCTAGGGAATTCACTGAATGGGGAGTCATGTGGACCTACAAGGTCATATGTAGATTGAAAAAACAAGAGAGACAAGGAGAATGGACAGGGAGCTGCTGAGTACCAGATGTGTGACAGGTCTTGGGAGTGACCCTGCTCACATATAATCCTCACAGCTGGAGCAGTGAGACCCTTCCTTCTTCTCCCATCCTACCCTTCCCTTTCACAGTGGATGCCCTTGGACAGGATAGTTTGACATCATGATAGCTTGATGGAAAATGAGAGGGATGAAAGAAAAAGAAAAATCTAAATTCCCCAGGCAGAAACCGTGACTATGGATGGCAAATAGTGCCCGTTTAGACCACTTTTTAAAATGTTTACCTTTCTTAAAAATTTAAAATTTTGTTATTTGTGTGTCTCTTTCTGTGTGTTGGGGAGTGGTACCCATGGAGGCCAGAAGAGGGCATTGGATTCCTTGGAGCTGGAGTTACAGGCAGTTGTGAGCTGCCTGATGTGGGTGCTGGGAACTGAATTCTGACCTCTGCAAGAACAAGTACTCTTAAATCCTGAGCCATCTCTCCAGCCCTAATTTTAGTTCAAAGAATTCATTTTTTTTTTCAGTGCTTGGAATTGAACCTAGGGCCAAAAGAGAGCTAGACACAGTGCTCTACCATTGAGCCACACCCCCAGCCCCTCAATGGGGGATTCTAGGCAGGGGCTCTACCATTGAGCCACTCCCCCAAGCCCTCCCTGAGCGATTCTAGGCAGGGGCTCTACCACTGAGCCACACCCCAGCCCCTCACTGGGGGGGATTCTAGGCAGGGGCTCTACCACTGAGCCATGCCCCAGCCCCTTACTGGGGGGATTCTAGGCAGGGGCTCTACCACTGAGCCATGCTCCAGCCCCTCACTGGGGGATTCTAGGCAGGGGCTCTACCACTGAGCCA